CTGAATTCAGCTGAAATGAAATTAAGTAGGTGTATTTTTTCAACTCTCTTGTGCTTTTTTGTAGTTCAGAGATTTTAAGTGATGTATGAAGTGTTCAAAGTTGCAATTTTATAATAATTTTACCATTTTCATTAATTGTAATATGCACATGATGTTATAGTTCCACTAGTTTCATTCTTACCTAATAATTGTTTACTGATTTTATGAAGCAGAGTATATCCCTCAATTTTGTACCAAAGATGTCTCAGAAGATCAGAAATTGCATATGGAATGTTTGAAATTTCTGGGTTGTTTTTGTTCCTTAGGTAAGTTTTTAAAATGAGTATTGAAGTATTTTTTATTTTTCTTAAATTTATTAAAAGATTGAAATGTGCCCATTAACTATTGTTGATTGAGTTGATTGAGTATTGAGTATTGCATGCAATTTTAAAATAAGAATGAATGGAATTGGATGGAAACAACTGATGTTGTGGCAGAATTTATTAAGAATTTAAAACGTATGAAGAATTGAGAAATGAGGAAGAATGCATTAATAATGCTGTGCATAATGCTGTTACTACATGTCAATTGATATAAATATTCACATTGACCATTTCTCTTACAATATTATATTTTTTGTGACCATTTTATTTTTTAGGCAATGGTCACTTCAACGAAGTAAATGACATTGCAATTCAGTTGCTGAATCATGTGCCTCTAAATGGGTTGCATCGTTTCAATGGAGTAAGTATAATTTATCCCATCAAAAGAGCTAAATTGATTATTTTTACTTTCTTGTGTATGTACATACGTATTGAGATCAATGATTTTTCGAGCAGAGCAGAGGCTAGAATAATATATTTTCATATCTTTGTGGCATTATATTTTTGAGATGTCATAAAGGTGTTATTAAGAAAATGTCAGAGTAAGAATATCCTATTTAAAAGAGTAACAAGAGTTTCCTGTTGAAAGTTAGTTACCTCTCAAAAACATTACTTTGAAAGATTCTCATGCTGCTTTGGAACTTATGAGTTCAAGTTCAATTGATGAACTTCTTAATTGACCAATATCATTACCTGTCTCTGTCTGAAATGTGTGAAAATATATGTTTTTACATAGTAAAATGTGTGAAAGATGGAATCCTTCAGGACTGAAATATTCCAATTCAGAGAGGTTTCTGTTGTATTCAGTGTTTTTGATGTTATTGATACTATTTGTGGTACTATTGATATGGAAGCAATGAAATTACAGAATTAATAAAAAATAATGTAACATTATTATGAATAAAATACATACACATATTAACGCATTTAAAGAGGAAAACAACAACAATAAAATATTAATAATATGTTAAAAATAAAAAAAATTTAAAAAGTACCATGTACATCAATAGTGTTACAAAAATTATTAATATTTCGAGAAATTCCAATTCGATATACAGTAAACAGAAAACTAGTCCCCAGGTAGTCGTTGAAATTGGGTAGATGAAGTGGATGATGGGATGATGTTTTCTCTGATATGACATACACGCCATATTGCTCTATTCTTGTGTTGTTTTTCAATAATTACAAAAATTACATTTTTTGACTTGTCTCTCAAGTTGTTAATATTCATATTAGCAGCAATTTCTTCTCATTAATGTATTTAAAAGCACATGTGCTTTAAATAATGCAATATAAGTTTTCTCGAAAACTCAAATGTTTTCTGTCAAAAACTAGCTCCAAATTTCGCAATTTCAAAAATGATCAAATGCCATTTTCTTAAAAACGGCTCCAAATTTTTTCTTTGAACTTTTTGAATGGATAGTGCTAATTGTACTCTTTAATATGAAGTATGGTTCATTTCGAGGCATTTGTTGTTGTTTTTTTAATTACACAAATGTATTATTTTGAAATATCTCTCATGCCAGTAATATCCACAATTTCTAGTTTTTGGTAAACTCAAAAAATTTTTGTGAAAAAGTGTATCAAATTTCGAATTTACTGTAGTGCTTAAGCACAATTTTCTTAAAAACCTCTCCAAATTTTTGAAAGAAAATTGCTATTTAGTACAATGTTTTACTACTCTTTAATATCCTTAATATATTTCCATTCTACTATTAGGAAATCGCAAAATTAAGAAACATTAAAAAAATGTACTTTGGACAGCAGTAGATGGCAGCAGGCAAGAGTAAGTTCGAATAGCTAGCCGAGGCCAAAGGAAGTTCGTAGAAAACTAATACAGGAAACTCTGTGCCATTCTGTAGCATTAATAGTTGTATTATTAATAAAATTACAGGTAAGCATGTGCCTAAAATGATTACCTTTCCCACATTTTATTGTTATTTGCTGAAGTCATTGCTGAGAGAGTAGTCTAAAGCACACAAGAATTATAAAAAATTACATTTAAAGGCAGAGTACATCAAGTTTTCTGATATTAGAAGAAAATGCCAAAAGAAGGCTAATGAAGACTATACTAGATATATAAATGTAGCTGACAGAAATACATGATTTTTATTATCTTTTTGGAAATTTGTAAATAATTCATGAAGGCAAGTGGCCTGACTAACTTGGTATATTTTAGAAATGAATCATCTGATTCCCCTCAGAATATTTTTAATTTGTTTGCAATGTGTTATTATTTAATTTGTTTTGCTGTGTATATATATATATATAATCAGGGTGAATCTTTAATTGATCTCGATCTAGATGTTATTGAGTACAACATCGATATTGGGTGCCTGTCTAAATCTAGGATGGATATTTTTGATGCAGTTGCAAGGAGAACATAAATGCTTGTCCAGACCGGATTCCAAATGATTTTGTTAAAAATTGTATTTGTAATTTAACTCTGATGCTACACTATATCTTTTTTAAGGAACTGTGGAGGGTTCATTCTTAGATGTAAGGAATAGGAGATACAAAACATTTGATTTTAAAACCAGGGATTGATCCCAAATGGAAAATTACAGACCAAGTATTGAAGCTTATCAATATCAAAGTGTCACCCTACACTTCTTGAAAATGTTATTACTATTTGCTTTTTTCCTTATTGAAAAATAGTCAGTCTTATTAGTGAACAAAATGGTTTCAGAAGAAAGTACTCAACTTCTCTAATTTATTTCTTTATGAAAAATGTTTAAGAAATTTTGAATAAAATGTATTTTTGTATTGAGAATACTTTTTATTTTGAAATGCGATGTCACTAACAAGAAAATCTGTTATGTTGTACCACCAGTAGTTGGTGTAGATGTTGATTTTGGAATAAACAAGAAAGTAATCACTTCTATATTTATTCAATATTTTCTAGTTTATTTGTAGTTTGGTAAAATTTTGCAACATTTAACATAATTTCATCTCTTTTCATTTTAGATTGTGTGGATTGTTTGGTGCCTTCAAAATAATGAAAAAATGGATACATTAGTCATTTCTAAAGTAATAATTCAATTAAAATATTTGTTCACTACGTGGTTTAATGATAGTGAAACCACATTTGTAATTTTGAGATTGTTGCAAGGTAGGCCTAATATCTGGAAAATATTCTATTAAACATGTACTTTATAAACTGATCATACATCAGAATTTATTATTTTGCAATGTTATCATTTAGCTATAGCTGTAAAAGTTCCAAGGGATCTAGGTAGTTAGAAACTAACTTACCTTACCATAAGATGGGTTCTGCTCAAAATTGTACATATAAGATGAAACGGTAAAATATTTTCTATAAAATGTTTTCTTTATGAAGTTATTGACTCCAGTTCTTTGTAATACTAATACTTTTTTTGAAGACATCATATAATGCAGTGAAAAATATACAGTTATAACTTACAAGAAATGAGAAATGTAGTAATTATTAGTTCATCGGAGTGAAAAGAAATTGCAGCATTATTTTCTTTTAATTTTTTTGTGGGAAAGGTCTTTTTATACTAGTTTGACCTCATTTTCTGTTTGACATTCAAGAAAATTGACAGATACAAAATGTTTATAAAGCAAGCATACACTAAAGTTTGGCTCTTGCCATTCATCTCCTTTCAATAAATGATTTATTGATGAGAATCAATTAATGGTAATATTAAAACTTCATTGTTCTTCCTTGTCACAGGAATTGTGAAACATGTTCATAGTAATGGTACACAGGAAGAAAAAGATAATTTTCGGACTTTGTTGTTGGGCATACTTAAATGTATTGCAAAAAATAAATTTGGAGTAAAAGTAACTGTTGGTTTTATCAAATGCCTGGAAGCTTTATCAACAGTGAGTGATAATCAGAAGTTAGTGAATTTTGACATAGATGTGCCTGAGTGATATTTTAAAAAAGTTTTTCTTAAGGTGGACCCGTCTGCTTCTTGGTCAAGAAATGAAGAAGGGCCAATGGTAGAGAAGATCTTAGATTTTTTGGACAGTTCATCACATGAAATCCGTTTATCTTCCATAAAGAGTTTGAGAATTACAATGTCAGAGTCAGTTGGGCGTATGGATGATTCATGGCATTTAAAAATTTTCTCGAATATCTGTAAAAAGATAGATGAATCCTTTATCATTGAAGTAAGTGTTAAAGAACTTTTTTTGACTTTTCAGAAAAAATTCTATTTCCCTCAATTGTTGCTTGCATCATGTTTTGACTTAGGGTGAGCTGGGAACGTGCTCTGTCATTGATGAGGCTGCAAATCGTTCTGCTTGTGCTCTCCATGCATTTGTCGGTGTTCTAATTGGCAATCCTACTTTGTACAAACAAGCTTTATTTAGACTACTAAAATTTTGCAAGCAGAAAAATTTAGATGTTGGTAAGATGGAAAAAATATTATATAAATTAATTAATTATATAAATATAATTCTTTTCCTGAGATTTGTGAGGCTTAATCTTTTTGTACTTGTATATTTTTCAGAATTATTCAAAAGAGCAATAACTTACTTCTGTTCAGTTAATGATATCAATTCTTTTGCTTTCCTTAAAAGAAATCTTCCGTTTTTGGTGAGCGAATGGTTGGAAAACAAGTTCCCATTGCAGGTACTAACTTATTTAATGAGTCGCATGCATTGCTTCAGAGAATTGTAATCAGTAGCACCAAAAATAAAAGGTATGATTGTTTAATTTTCTTTTTCCTTGTAAATTGGATCAGTAATATGTCTAAATTGCTTGGTGAAAGATTTTTGAATGTCTGTGAAATTTACTGGATGATCCTGTAGTTGGATTGGATCTTTTAATGTAATATATATACTGATATTTAATAGCATTAATATTATGGGTATTATGGTTATTTTTTCTTTTCTTTCAGGATTTAGCAAAATATTTATTCCAGATGCCTTTACCTACTTTTTGTTTAAACTATGTGGATGTTTTAGTTCCTATTATATTGTTGCGAGATGATATGATGGCTTTGCAGGATATCAGTGGGTTTATCAACCAAAATTTGAAAGAAATGTTTCAGGTAAAATTTATTTTATACTTTAGGGTTAATTGCACAAAAATCATCTGTGCCCAATCACTGCTGCTACTTTTTCTGTACCTTTAACATTGAAACAAGAGATTGTTTCTTAATGCAGTCGGTTTCTTAAAATTTGATCTTCAAATTATTTTGTGTATACCGTTTTTGAAGGAACTTTCACCTGATTTTGAGTTATATCAATTGAATTTTCAAGTGATGATTGAGAAAAATAGAAGGTATAATACATAACCATTGCCAACAATATGAGAAAGTTTGTGTTATTTGAGCACCACATGTTCTCTTTCAAATTTTTGGAAAAATAGACCACTATGCATCGAAGTCAGTAGCAAAACGCCAGATTCTTTAAAATATGGAATTATCAAATAATAAAATGTGAATTTTTTTCCAACATTTCATGCTTTCTTTGATTAGAACTTTTTGAAGTGATGGCTGAAATGTTAGTAGGATAGATCTTGCAATGTATCTGTTATCTTTAATATGAGAAAGTATGTGGTGTTGGAGCACCCCTAATTTTATATTTGTCTTTCATTACAACAAGCATAATGTTTTCATATTTCGACTACTCTTAAGTCAGACAAAAAGATAGTCAGCACTTAAAGTTATTTTGCCTTTATATTTCAGGATTCTTTTCCTCAGATAATGGGAGAACTTGTGCCTGGACTGGAAGCTGATGATGTATTAGCAATAGAGTGCCATAAAAAATTGGAGAATGTTATTTCTAGGGATGGTATGGAAACTCTGTTAAATTCTCAATTACCAAAATTAATTGTGGCAGTCTTCAGAAAAGTTCATGATCCTGCCCATTTTATGGATTTAACTAGAACTAGACTCAAGATATCTCAACCAGATAGGTCTAGTATATCTTTTGATACAGCTATAAATTGCATAAAATATCTTCAGGTAAATGCCAACATTTTGTCAAATGATCTGTTTGGAAATTTAAACTTTTATGGATTTGTTGATTTCCTGTGCTTTGCAGAGAGGTTCTCCATCACCAGAAACTAATCTTCTGGAGTTTTTGTGCCAGAACTCTCCAAACCACATACAGATGATTCTTCTTGATCTGACAATTGACATCTATGAAGCAATATTGCTCCAAGATAAACTAGTTTCTTTTTACCACTACGCAGTTTTCACTTCCGCTGTTGTATCAGATATGAGAAGAAAAACATTGCCTGTAATATCTCACATATTATGTTGTATTGTGCACACATTAACTCATATTATAAAAGAAGCCACAGTTTTGGAAGTTAATCTTGCAATAACTGCTTGCCATTTTTTGGAATACATTTGTGAATTGTGTTTGCCCCAAAATGCAAATATTCTTAGTAAATTGTTAATTTTGATGACTGATACTTTAGTGCCCACTGTGAAAATTGGGGGTGAAGTGGGTACTGCTGCAATGAAATTATTGAAATTCATATTTATGGACAAACGCCAGTATTTCTCGGAAGCAGATTTATTAATTGATATATTACCAAGTGATCCAGAATTTCAAGAAATTAAAAATATAACTCAAATAAAGAATCAAATGCATACTTCAAGTTTAAAAGAAGAAATAACAAGATTTTTACAAATGCGTTATTTGTCTGGAAAGCAGGGTGTTGAAAGTTTGAAACATTTACATCAGCTGGTAAGTAATAGTATATTCCTTATTCTATGGAACAAAAATTACAATTGTATAATACTAATTAGACATACCTACCCCTTATTGAGTCTGTAGATTTAAGAGATACATGTATTACGAGTATTCAAAATAATACATATTCATAAAGACAGCTGTATTCGTGGACACAAAAAGCAGAACAAGTATTTGCAAAATATTTGTAGGTTTATGCATTTGCTGCTTTGTTCCCTACACAGGGTCTCAGTCTAAAAACATTCAAGTATTCTCTTGTAATAAAAATTCTGTTTTAGAAAACTTGAATGTTAACTTCTAATATTAAATGTTCTTCTTGTTTTTACTAATCATTTTGCTAACTTTTGATCTTGATAATATTTTGAATATGTTCTTAGTTGACTTTGCATGTGTGAATCATAAAACATATTATTTGCAGTTATCTACTAAAAAGAGAGAACTTAAATCCATGTACGATCAATTCCTTGGTTGCCGGGGATTTTCTGAAGATTGTGGCAAAAGTTTGATGCATTGTCTTGTATGCAGATTAGTGGAATTAGTTGCTTCTAGTGAATTTGAGGTAAAACAATGCGGCATTTAATTAATAGTTCTCTACCTTTCTCTTGCTTACTTTTTCTTTTCTTATATGTTCCTTTCTTTACCCTTTACTCTCCCATCTTGCATATCTTTCGTATTTTCATGCTCCCCTCTCCCGTCTCTCTTTCCTCTACCCCTTACTCTTTCCTCTCTCACCTTACTCTCTCCACATCTCTCTCTCCCTCTACCCTCTGCCTGCATCTCCATTCTCTCCATGATCTCTCATTCATTATCCCTCCTCTCTCTCCTTTTTACTCCCTCTCTCTCTATTCTCTCTGTCTATCTATCTATCTACCTACCTATCTGTCTGTCTATCGATCTATCTATCTCTATCTCCTTTTTCTGTATGTGTGTGAAAGTGTTTGCGATACCTACCAAACCAACACTTTAAAGTGAGCCACAGATTTTTAATTTTTTTCATGTGCAATGTGGAGAAATATACATTGTAAAGAGGATTGTATGTAATGCTGTGGAAAATTGATTTGGAGATTATAGAAAATCCATTCATCTGTATATGCCAGTCCTTTTGTCTGTCTTTCTATGAACAGCACTTGTGCCTAGACTATTCATAAAACTTTTTCCAAAATGAATGTTCCCCCATTGATCTGGTCTGACTCAAAGCTCTGTGATTATAAAAATCATTCTTTTAATTTGGAGAACTTAACAAGAAGTCCTTGGGACATTTTCAAAATTTTCTCAAAAATTTCTCCCAATATTTTCTTTAAACATTTTGTACCATAAGAATAGAGTGAAATGCACCTATTCAGATGGCAATATTTTGTTCAAATGAAATGTATTCTCCACAATTTTCTCTTTATTAAAGTCATGAACATTGTTTTGAGACTTGTAGTTTTTTTTCTGTCATTTTGAGTGAAATATGGCCAGTATTACAAAATAAAAAACAAGAATTTGTCAATAAGCGGCTCCAAATTTTTTCTTTAAATCTGTTACTGGTAGAGCTAAGTATAAGGTAAATTATGCTATATTCTTTGTTTAAAAAAAAAAATACATAATTGTAATTTTTTTGACATCACTCTCAGATCATTATTATTAACATCACTGGTGATTTGTGTACAATGTTACATTTGTGAGTAATAGTGCTTCAAATGATGTACTGTAATATTTTTTTAAATGGATTACTTAGCAATTTCTTGAAAACGGCTCCAAATTTTTTCTGTAAATCTTTTGAATGTGTAATAGTGGACTAAATGACAGTCATAAATGCTACTATGATGTATTCTTTTGTTTTTTAAAAAATTACACAAATGCAACTTTTTGAAATACCTCTCAAGCCATTAATATTTACGTTAATGTTAAAGAATATATTGCTTAATTAAGTAGAAGTACTTCAATTGATTTAATTCCAAGGAAGTTTCTTAGAAACTCGGAAGTTTTCTGTGAAAAAGAGCTTCAAATTTTGCATTCACATAAAGGCTTAATGAAATTTTCTAAAAAATAGCTCCAAATTTGTTAACAAACATTTTCGTATAGGAGGAGGCTTTACTCTTCTATAATATTCTTAAAGTTACATTTCAGTCCTACCATTAGGGGACTGAAAAATTGAGAAAATGTGAAAAAAGTAGTAGGGTAGCTATAGACGGCAACTTGGAAGAGGGTGTGGCAAAACTGAAAAGCTAGCCCAGACTAAAGGAATTAGAAAATTAATTACTATGAGAAAGTCTGAGTCATTGTATAGCACCCCTAGTTTCTTATTGTTGTAGTTGTGCCAGAACAGACTAGATTAGCTTAATAATTGCTACTGCTGCTGATGATAATATAATTTTTGTTAAATAACCACTCTCCAGCAGGCATAGTATAGTTTTTTTTATGGTATTCTATGCCTGCCTTCATTTGGGACTTTTCATTTCATTAAACATTTGTGTAGTTTCAACAGAATTGTACATGTATGTTTTATTAACAGGTGAGTGTTCATGCTGGACATTGTTTGGGAGAAATAGGACCTTCAGACCTAGGATCATTAGTTCTTAGACCTGATGCTGGACAACAAGTGACCAGCTGTGCCGATGTTGTGCCATTAGTTGCCGAGTGTTTACTTGATGAAAATATCAAAGTTGTAAGAGCTGCAAGCCAAGCAATGTATTCTCTCATCAGATTCAAAGATTGCAATACATTTGCAGGTAATGTTCCCCCTTTTGCTTCTGTTGTTTTAAGAACGGATATTACGTTTTACATTATGGTTCTTCTCGAAATTTAATTTTTTGGGGCAATTTTGCCACAGTTCACAAAGCTAATTTTGCCTGTGGCCTTACAAAATGTAGACTTGCCATTTTATTTTAATTAATCATCTTATGTAAAACTCTCTTACTATAATAGAAAGTTATGGCTTTGTGGAAAGTTCAACTAAGAGTGTACATTAATTAGTCATTTTGATGCTGTACACTACAATTGTATATTTCATGCTAGTTCATTCCTGCAGAGTGTTTTTTTTTACACCAAAGTTTGTTGTCTGTGAGAAAAAAATACTCCATTTGTATTATTTGTTGTATTGTTTTTAAAAATAACTAGGAATAATGTATAATTTGTTCCTGGCATGTTTGTTTTCAGAAAATCAAGTTAATTTGAGTTGTGGTATTTCGTGCACAGACTTTCTGCACCCATTTAATGCAGGCAAGAAAACCAAAACTCTGTCTTTTGAAATTGATGAATCTCTTTCCAAAGCGGAAATTTCTAATGAAAATTTGTGGTACCCCAAAGATGACTCAGATCATGAATCTTGGGTGATAAAATTAACTACTACTACCCTTCGTTATCTTTCAAAAGGAAATAATTTCTTGCCAACATTAATTCCTTTGTGTGAAGTAAAGGTAAGCTTTTGACTTACATTTGTTTATATCGCCTCAGAATTATGTTCTTAACAACTATATTTTTTCTCTTTACATATAGGCAGAATTTTCTGAAAAGATTTTGCCTTTGTTTGTTTCAAAATTGTCAACTATGAGCGCAGAATTCAATAAAATAATTTTGCATTGTATTAAACAATTTTTTGAGAGACATGTGAGATTGCACTTATTACAAAATTCAGGTAATGAGAATTGTAAATATATTCTTTCATAAATTTAATAATAATAATCTGTTCATAGTTCTCATTAATGTGGTGTGTATGTTGTTTTTTTTAACTTTAGAATCTTCAAACAATGTGTGCCTTAATAAAGCTTCTGTGCAATGTATGCTCAACTTAGTACATTTTTTACGTGTACATGACAATTTGAAAGATAATTGGTATGTAACAGAAAAAATTAAGATATTTTGGTATTGATATGCTATGCAAAAATGAACCTACAGAATTTATAACACTTTATTTTTTCAGGAATCCCACTCAGCTAGATTTAAACTATCTCAGTATTGCTCAAGCAGCACAGTTTTGTAATGCTTACTTTAGTTCCATCTTATATGTTGAACTGTGGAGTGACAAGTGGTTGAGGTAAGGACTGTTTTATTTTGAATATTCAGAATTGAAGCAGAATTTCACCGTTATTACTGGCACTGCCTAATGTTCAGCGCCAAAACATAGTTTTTTTATGTCAAACAATATGACCAATGTTACATTTTTAATATTTAGTTGAATACTTTCCAAATAACTACAATTGGTCTGAGCTTTGACCAATGAAAAACTTGCAACATTTTGGAACTTCTATTCGTTGATTTATGAAATTTTATGTCTTCAGGTCTCTTCTATATATCATATGGAAAGGAAAAATTTATTTACTTACGTAATTATTAAGGGGGGGGGTGTCAAATGGGGTCTGTGGTTTAGCTATTTTTTTAGCAGCCCATTGTACAGATCCAAAAGAGGGCTCCCTACCCCCTCTACCATTATCAAATGTGAAATTGTCATTAAATCTATGAATCCCTTAATGCCAGAAATAAAATAAAAGCCAAACCATCAAATGAATTTCTCAACCAGCTGAGGTACAGTATTTCAGGGCAAGAACTGTTGGAAGTGCATGTTCTCATCAGGATACTCCTAGGATTTAAGTTCTGACAATGGAAGATTTTCAACCCTTGCGAGATAAAAGCTCAAATTCAGTTGCTAAGTGGAAGCAAATTCTAGAAGCTGATTGATAGTTTTACGCGGTTTCTCTGATCAATACCATTTGAATGCCAAACGAGTACCCAATGATACATGCCACAGATTTCACTCACTTTCCTTCCTTATGTCTCCTCTCCCTGTACACATACAAGCAAACACACTAACACTCACATTCACCTGCTCTTGCACTCTCCCACACATATGTTTCACACACACACTCACATAGGCTTACACTTGCTCTCGGTCACTCTTGTACTTGTACTCACACTTGCACATATTTACACTTGCTGATCTTACACTCACATGTAATCTCACATGGACTTACATTTATACCCCCAATACTTATAAGCCTGTAAACACATAGACCCTTACATTCATGTCCAGTTTCTCTTAAATGCACTATAATATCACACATCTCAGAAGACCTTTTGGGAGCTTCGAATGTCATGGCTGGGACTGTGTCCTGTTGATGGAGGTAGCTGGATGAAAACCCTGAAATCTGACATGCAGGCCATTGGCAGATGTAATGGTTTCAGCAGAAGGGGAACACTGCCACATTCTATGATATAACATGCACTAGACGTATGCGACTAATTTCCATAGCAGTTGACTTGTCTGGAAACGAAGTATTTATTCAATATTTCAATGTAATTTCTCAATAAAGTATTTGCTGTAAAGTTTAAGGAAAAATGTGTAAGTTTTGAGTTGATAGTTTAAAGGAAATGCACTGATAGTTTTAAACTAAATGTTCCTTTTAAGCGAAACAAAAATGATCAAAATTGGTCAGAAGAGTTATTTCCAAGGTTTCCTGTCATGTAGTAATAGCCCATCTCACAGTGCTTTGCCAGCTAGATGAGAAAACATTTTTAATGGAGCCCTACAGCATCCGAGAAGGGGTTTCTCCCTTGAACTGCTATTTAGGCAAGTATTTTCTAACTAGATCAGTGGGTCACTAACTATCTTGTTGCTGATGCAGAGTCATGTCACACTCCAACAAGGGAAGAGGCGGTTGCAGAGGACACACGGAAGCATGGATGAAGCCACAAACAACCAATAACTCTAATATCCTGTTGCAAGTTGATGGATGCATGAACTAATCTAATTTGTTTTGTATTTTATTTAAAGTAATGCAGTTTAAAGCTTTCAACCTCTTACGAAACTTGTATGAGCTGCCACTGACAAATATAAATTTGATTTAACCATATATAAACAATAATGTATGGTTGGTTGACAATTCATGAACATACATCAGTTTAACTAGCACACATGCACAAATTTTTTGCTGAAAAAAGTTGGAGCCATTTCTGAGAAAATAATTGCTTAAAACTTTAAAATTGTCTAGGACACAAAATTACACCAAAAGTACTGATATATTCGAAAAATTGATCATGCCATATTCGAAGAAATTGTAATAAAAATGAGACGTTCTCCAAGGTCAAAATTTAATTTTAAAAAAATGCTGTGCAATATTTTTTGAAAATGTCCTAAGGGCTGTGTGTAAAGTATCTACCTAAAATTCAAAAATCAGTTTCATATTCAAGGGGCCGTAACATCAGCCAGATCAATTGGGGAATATCAATTTTGGTGAAAATCCTCCTTACAGTTTAGTTGCTTGCATTAATGACAGACAGATTTTGCTGTTAATCAATATTTTGGTTTTAATCAATATTTGACTCACAAAACATGGATTCTGACTTCATAAGGTGTTAGAGGAAGTAATTTTTTTGTATGTGGGGACAAGATTTATCCACATTTTCATTACCAGGGCCTGGCAATAAAAGTTTTTTTTTAAATTTTCCGTTTTTTTTTTTCTTCCACTAAATACAATACTGTGTAAGCAGTAGCATGAAGTACAAAATAAAACTATACTATTGTAGGTTGGAAGACTATGAAAAATAGTTTAACATTTGCAATTTTCGTAAATGCATTTGAGGTGATGATATAGAATAGAAATAAGATGTGTTGTCCAAGGTGGTTAATTAAATATGTTGGTACTTGTATAATTTGTTAAGAAATTGCTTATCACCAGGGGGTGGATTTTGAGGACCTAAATCATCGCAAAAAATGATCCATGAAATGCTCTTAAAATATTTTTAAAAGGACATCAAAGTAAAGAAAAATGACATAAAAAATGTGATCAAAGCCAGTTGAGATGAACAACTTAAGCTGTAGGTTTTGATACTGATGTAATCAAAGCTGCTTCTATTTGTTCAAGTGAATTCAGCTTTCAAACTTTTCGTTTAGACTGTTCTTACCAGAAAATTTCAGTCTTTAGGTATCCGAAAATCGGCTGAACAGGAACCATAGATTATATATCCACAACAGCTGACATTGCAACTCCTGAGTGATGAAATCGAATAGACTACCAGGTACACACGGTCAGGAATTCTGTGGAGAACATTTGTTTCAACTTGTAAATATTATTGGAAGCAAGTATCATTAAAAATGGTATTAAAATGTAATGTTGAAAAAAGCATTAAAAAATTACAGAATAAGGCAAAAAATGACTTATTTGTCAAAATCGACGAAAAATGCAAGAAAATGACTGATTTAAAAGAATTTTTGTAAAATGAAAAGAAAAAATAACATTTCATTGAAATCCACCCCCTATTTATCACTTTCAAAATGTCTTTGGACTGCAGCACCAACTTTATTGACGGCTGTCAAGGATCCTCATTGAGGACCTCATGCTTCAGCGATCCCAGTGTAGTACACTGGTTGCACCACCCTAGTTATGTGCCTGGTATGGATAAGTCCAATTTGCTAGAACATTACTCAAATCAATGAACATTCAAGTACAAATTATGAAGGAATACATTATTCAGCTCACATTAATGTGAGTACAAATAACAAACTTAAATTAAGAACAGTCTTCTTTTGACAAACGCAAATCAAAATGTAAAACTCACAATTATATAATTATACTGAAAAATACGTAACTCACATCCCACTACATAGATGAACTATCATGTTGTAGTGTGATTCAATATTGGAATACACCAGTTACTAAAAACAATTTTATTGAATATTATACTTACTCATAGAGACTTACTCCCAAACATACATTGCCAATAAGAATGAAAGAAATTTTACCAGCCTGAACAAACATTCTCAAACATATTTTAAAGTCAGAATTCTCATTTCTGTTTGAATCTTGAAACTTGATCCACGATGATTAAGACCTTCAAGATTAAAAGTAACTCGGATGAAGATCCTAAGATGCCTCACCAGAGTAACAAAACTAGATAGACATAGGAATGAAGAGATCATAAAAAGAAGATATTAAGGAATATCAAAGAAGATGGTTGAAACCTGTGGATTGAATGGAAGTTGATATACTACTTTGATGGTGGTAGTATCAGGTAGAAGAGTGCAAGCTGGTACTGGTAGTACAGGAAGAAGAGAGCAAGGAAAACTAAATATTAGATAGAGACAAAGGACCATGTGGTGGAATAACCACCAGACCTACAGCACAGGACAGGTTACATCTAAACTTAAATCCAAACCCCTAATAGTTTATGATTAGAACAGTTTCTAAGTCATTGATTTGAGTTTGAAAAAGAAGTGAACAGACTACTGAAGAGAAAATGCTCAAACTTAATTTATCAAGTATTTTACAGAATATTTTCTTAGTGTTCATAGAATTAAAATCTTTTCGAGTTCTGGTTTTTCTTTTTCTTCTTCTTTTCTTATCTTCCTTTGAAGTGGTGGTGTAAATGTTGTCCAAGAATGTCATTATGCAGTCAAATAACACCAAGACCACAAAGAGATGTGAATTTTTCTAAAACAACTGAATCAATATTATAGTTAAAGGAAAACTGCTTCCGAGCAGGAGAAAGTTATACATTTGCATTTGCTTAGATTCAGATTGAGGTAATTTTCAACAAACCATTTAGAAAATTCAACAATTGTATTTTGTTGCATTATAACATCAAGTTCTGCCAGAACTTTGTTTTCGTCCCGGAAGCTGCAAGCTCTGAGAATGATCGCTATGTGCTGGATACGATCATAAGCTGAATAAAATTATTGATACCAGACAACATCTTTATTTATTTATCATAAAAAAAGGTATCTACCTCACCAGCGATCTAATTAAAGAAAACACTGTTGGTGACTTTATTAAGTATTTTCTGATATCCTTTCTTTGTGAATGACATGGACACTACAGACCACAAAAACAGAAAATCAACCCAAGAATGAGTTTAATTTTGTCATTGCAAAGCAATTACAACAAATTGATGATTCCAATTATTTTCTGAAAGATTGAAGAAACAAATTATTTAAAAAACTTGTAAGATTGACTTGCTGTAAGAATTGTGTTTTTTCTGTTTTTCAGGACAGAAAACTCTGAAGAAATTTATGGTCAGTCCCAAACAGTTTTGGAAAGAATATGTGAAATGAATCCTGATGATGGCTCCAATGCACAAAAAATTTTGTGGGAGGTGAGCATGTAGTCTATCTGAAGATTTGCATGAGCATATAGGAAGCTTATGTTTTAGTAAATGTTTTATGAAGAAAGAAGGGGAAAAATATTTCAATTAAATTATTCTTTCATAATGTTATTTGATATATTACATTTTATAATGTATTTTGCATTGACAATCACTTGTGAGTTTATTATCACTTGAAATACATACTTTATAAATAATTTTGTTAACAATTTAAAATCCAGAATTGGATCGCGTTGAATCATAAATTAGAATGACTGGAACTTTGTGTGGATATGGTAAAGAGACTACAAAGGAGTTCAGAAAGATTGTGAGTTTTGATGCGACTCCACATTTTGTGTTTTGTTTATTATCTCCAGAATTTTATCCAGAGAGAGAGAGAGACTCAGTTCTTTGTATCTGGGAGATTGTTTGAACTTGCCTATTGAAGTTTAAAACTAACATTTTGCTTCATGTTTTTAGGCATACATGAGAATATGTGATACTGATGCAATTTATGGATGTGGTTCATCTCTTCTCTTGGATCCTAATAAAAGACCACTGCATTATGAACTGAGAGGTGAATGGGATAAAGTTATTCTTTCTCACGACATTCGATTGTCATCTGGTCATACAGAGTCTTCCAGAGGTAGGCACTAGAGTGATATATGTGGACTATGATGATTAATTCTTTAAAGTTCCAAAGAAATATTTGTTTCTGAGAGACTGTCATATGAAATGTTCTTCATTTTCAGGATTGATATATGCTTTGCAAAAAGCTGGCCTTGAACATGTTTTAGATGTGTACTTGAGATCTGTCACAAATGCACAGTGTTCAGAAGATTTACAATATGAATGTGCATGGCGCCTTTCAAAATGGGATACTCAGCTTGTTAATCCCCTTAGACATCAGGGTAATTTTGAGCAATGGCACTTTTTGGCTCTAAGAGCATTATCTGATAATGATAAAGTAGGCTTTGCAGAAGCACTAAAAGAGGCTCATAAAAGTGTGTCCAATTCTTTGGTGAATTTATCATTAGAGAGTTGCAAAAGTATTTACAAACCACTTTCACAGTTCCAACTAATTCAAGAAATGAGTGAATTTCATTCTGTTGAAAATGAATTAGAATTGGATGATCTATTAAAAAAGTGGCTGCAACGAGATGAAATTGTATGTAATCAATTTGAAGATATAGAGCCTGTGTTTAGGCAGAGGATTGTCATGTTAAATTCATCCCGTGACAAAAATTTGAATCAAAAAGCAGCTGAAGTTGCAGTCAGACTAGCTACTCTTGCTCGTGAAGAAAATCAGCTGCAAGTTGCAGCCAAATGTGTGGGTTTGTTCAATGTCACCAATTTACCTTCAAATCTCAATGCTTTACTGAAGATGGAGGAAGCTCAGCTTGCATGGAGCAGTGGAGACCTTGCCTTAGGCAAACGCATCATGCGGAATTTGATAGTAACTTTTGATCAACAAAATCTAAAAACTCTGTTACCTGTAATGTATGCTCAAGCTTTGAAACTGAGTGGTGATTGGATGGTAGAAACAAAGTCGGAAAATCCTCAAGTAGTGATTGATAGACATTATTTAACAGCCTTAAAAATTTTGAATGATATTGGGGACAGTAGAAGTGATAATGTTTTAGATGTGTATTCTGCTCTGGCACGTTTTGCTGATGGCCAATATCAGAATCTATCAAATTATTTTAAATCCCGTGCTTATGAAGTGAAAAAGCAATGGATTGAGAAAGCTGCTCAGGATATAGAAGATTTGAAAAAATTACCAAATCGTACAAAAGATGATGACAGAACAATTGTTTTAAAGCAAAGGCAAAGCAAGATTGATAATGAAGAATTATACACCACAAGACAACAAAAAGACAAATATCTTGCAGACGCTGTGAAGTAAGTGAGCCGAATTCATTTGTGATTTTTTATTTGTCCGATTTACTAACTTTATATCTGTTTAATGTTTTTCACTTTTAATAGGTATTATTTACAATGCTTGGCTTATGGTGATCGGAACAATTTGGATGTATTTCGAGTAGCCTCTATATGGCTTGAAAATATGCTTCATTCTTCTCTCAAAGTTATTTTAGATGACTATCTATGTAATGTTCCATCCTACAAGTTTGTTCCTATTTTACCACAGTTGACTCCACGGATGTCCAATGTAAAAGATGATTTTACTATAAAACTCAACAAACTACTGAGTAAGTTCTTGCTATGCTTTTTGTAAATTTTTCAATTTCCTGAAATGTTAAGTCTGTAAACTGGCATGTGTTTAACCTTTAATCTAAATTACTGTGCTGATTTAATTTTTGTAATTGGTTTTATTATTCATGTGATTATTGTTATACAATTTAAACACATTAATACGAATAAATTGAGTTCTCATTTTTAGAGAAATGAGTGAAGTCTGAAGTTGCATATATATACCTTTTCTACATTTAATAAATTTCAGTAACAATGTTTATAATTGTAAGATGATTTTGCTGCTATTTGTTTGCATAATAATACAAATGTTATATTAGAGTGGAAGACATTCTGAGGCTAATTTTTCTGTACCTGCATTTAATATGTGATGTAGGCATTAGGCTAGAACATTATTTACTGAGGACTGTAATCTTCTGTATCAAATTGGATTCTCCTGTCTTAATCATACAACCTTTCCTCTTTTATATATGATATTGTACTAATTTTAAATATACCTTTTTACTCTAATATAGTTTGAATATTTAATGAAGATGTATTTAGTAACAAAATGTAGATGATTTGTCGAGTATATGTCCACCATTTTCTAATGCAGAGGGGGATGCAGACGCTGTATGCATCTTTTATTAATATTGTTAATATGACCCTTAATGTAATCTCCAGGTGTGTATAAGCACTCAGATAATATAAATTATAAACAAGGTAAATTGTTTATAATTTATATTATCTCATAGTGTGTTTATCATAAAGTGTTTTTAACAAAATTAAAACATAAAAGTTTAATATTTAACGTATACTCTATGGTTTTAAATTAAAAATGGTAATACTTTGTTAATGAAATCAATTTAGAGTTGCAAAATGATGAAGGTTTGGAGTATTATATTTTTCATTCTATGATATAGATGTGAACAAACAGAATTTAAATAAAAACATATTATATAGATTTACAAATTAAACATTTGCTTACATACAAACTTACATCCAGGACTGAAGAAACTCTACAGGATTTCACAAAATATATTTCAATCCATTTCTACCCCTTTTTTTATTACATTTTTTTCTCTTTTCTTCTTATTCCTTGTAGATATTTTCTTTCTCTTCAGTACTTATTAACCGCGCCGTCTCCAGGTGCATGTCAGCGATCCATGCCTTATTCTTTTGTTTTACCGGCACACTGAAATTGCGCGAAATGTCACAGCGGCCCATGATCACTCGCTTGGCACTTATTGGACCTTACTCCGTCAACACCTTTTTTCGGTTGCGTTGACCACACTCCAATACCTGGAAGACTCCGTACCACCGCTTGCCAAGCGAAGTAAGAGAGAAATAAGAGCTGTCACACGTCTGTTGAGAACAGTCGAAAACGGTTTCCATACGTACCACTGAGCTGAAATACAGCGAGAATTAGGACTCGTATCTAAAAGGCTGAGGACGGAACTCGCGGTTTTCTTGTTGTTTTTCGATCCATTATTATTTTGTAAGATTTTTTGAATCGAGCGAGAATCAGGATTCCTACTAGTAACTAAAAGGCTGAGGACAGGCGGTATTTTTTTTCCATACATTTTAGTCCTTTCTACAATTCCTTGTGTTTCTCATTTTTTCTTTTCCTACACTTTTTACATTTTTTTTCTCTAGACCGTTTTTTGAGGAGGGGTATTGCCCCCCGCCGCGATTACATCAGTAACATTTCTAAAAGCTTGAATTACGCATCTGAATTTGTTTTGATAAAAAAAGTACGTCAGTTTTCTTAGCTATTAGGGAATTTTAAAATTATTTTAAGAGTATTTTATAGATCATTTTTTGCGATGTTTTAGGTCATCAAAAATCTGTCCCTTAGTTATATATCCCCATCCTACGGATACTATATAAATGCCTGATTGAGTCGAGTGTGATAGGTACACTAAGAGAGTTTTTATTTAAAATGTTTTGGTCGAATGTGTAATATTACAGATTATGTAGAATGCTAAATTCAGCTCATGCTGGAATCTGTTATTCGTTTTAAAAGCCCATTCACAATGCAAACACAAACATAAGTTTAACGCATAGACGAAAACATTAACATAAGTGATAGATTAAAGTATTCACAATGTCTCGCATAAACGTAAGCAAAATAAAACTTTTCATTGGTTGGATGCGGGAATCGTTTTCGAGATGTCGACTGTGTCCATGGCGTTAGTTCGCCTATCGACTTCGATACTCGATTTTGAGTTAACGTACTGTGATTGGTTCATTTCTTATGTCTTACTTAAGCATAAGCACAGATGCTTACAAGCTTTTAAGTTAACGTCTTACGTGTTATGCTTATGCGAACGCATTGTGACTGTGTCCGCTTTTGGACGTAGTCCCAACTTTTATGTTAATGCCACGCTTATGTTTATGTTTGCATTGCAAATGGGCCTTAATGATTATCCGAAAATATTTTTACGGAGTAGAGAAAGTTATATAATGCTGCACGAAAAAACGGGCAATTTTAGGCAGAAAAACTCTTATTAAAAACCCTAGTAACAAAAAAGTGGATTAATCCAGTTGCCATCCAGTTTTCCCTTAATGAAATCTGTTTTGTAAAGATAGGTTTGATGTAGTCATGTACAATTTTTCGAAATTTGAGTATATTTGGCGTAATTTTGCTTGAAAATACGGGCGAGAAAGTACGTGCTGTTTTAGCTCTACCAGTTAATTAAAAGTTTCACGAGAATTTAAATTATTGGTTACTGAAAACAATTTTTTTGGGGTGGGTGGGAATTTCCCTCATCCCCCCGTGAATCCGCGCCTGTGTAATGAGTAATGAATTAATTTCATATAAACATCAAAAAATTAGAATGAAAATTGATCTTCGATTATTAGCTCATATTGATTTTAGTTTATCTTCATGTTGTCTAGAAATGTTTAGAGTTCTTTCTTTCGTATCTTAAATCTCTGTTGTTATATCTTCAGTTTTCCTGATTTATATGCCATGAGTAAAAAAATAATGTTGAAGGTTTTGTGTTGGGAAAGTGTAAAAAAATGTATGTATTTACAGTGCGTTGTGCTGAAGAGCATCCTCACCATACGCTTCCAATTATTTTGGCTCTGGCTAATTCCTACAAGGACCAAGACTACACCCAAGGAGCCAGCACCAGTGATAAAAGAAAAGCTGAAGTAAGTTTAATCCCAAATATTTGTTTTTAAATTTTCATTGGGTCAGTTTTAGTGTTGAACGTTTTCATGACACATTTTTTTAAAAAACTTTTGCCTTTCGAATTCTTTGCAAGAAGAGAAAATTATGTAATTTTCATAACCGCCTGACGTTGCGTGAGCACGGCTGTTCTCACCCGTGTTCACCAGCGGGGGAACGGTGCGACTAAAGCAGTGTCCCCGGGGAGACGCCACGAGTCGTGCGCGGTATCGCCATAATCGCGGTGACTTTTCCCCCGATCGCGATCAACAGCCGGCCGCTCACAGGAATCGGACACATAAACAAAATTTCTTCGCGGTCTGACCATGTTCTTTCGGGATTGTCTACTCCGGCGTGGTTGCATTCAGGGTAACGCGGCACGGCTCGCCTGAGAGTGGCCTGAAGCGACCACGCTCACGAAGACCTTTTTAAGGACTTTTTAAACTTTGCGTTGGGTCCCCTGTATTTATAGGTTTCGCGGGCCCTCTCCCACGCCGATGACGCGGTGGCCCAATTGCCAATCACGTACGCGACGGAGGGTCCCGTGACCTTGGCCTGTGTATCCATGGGACCAACTTAGGTATCGCTAATGGTTCTGAAATTATTACTACTTTTTCGCCTTACGAATTCTTTGTAAGAGAAAGTTATGTAATCCTTGCGCCAGAAAAGGTCGACATTTCGCCAGAAAAAAAATTTACTTGCCGGGTTCTGGTAATGAAGAAGTGTATAAATGCTGTTGCTATATGTAGAAAAAAAACTAGTAGTGCTATAGAATGGCACAGACTTTCTCGCGTCTTCTAATCTCTTCTGAACTACGTTGAATCGCGTCTGAACTACGATTTCACTTGTGACTGATTATACGCTTACTACTATTACATAAGTGTACTACCCGGGTGGCCGAGGTGACTAGTTGGTAGTTTACGGACTCAGCTCTTCAGATGGGAAGTTCGCTGTTTCGAGTCTTGGTGGGGAAGTATTATTTGTTACAATTCTGTTTCCTCTGAATATAATAAGAGAATTCCAGGAACTATTGAAAACCATTTAAAGCAATTATCACAAATAGAATTCGGCGCGTCAGTGGCGTAGTGGTATGAGTGACTGCCCTTTGATTCTGAGTTCGAGTCTCGAAACGGAAAAATAGTTTGCTGCTTGAAAACAATTTTGCTGTTTTATGTTGTATAAAGTTGCGGAGCATCTAGAAACAATGCGAGAAAATGTGTGCTTTGGCAGCACCACTAGTTAGTAATGAAATATTGTGGAAAATTTCAGGTCTTATGTTTGATAGTATCCTTCTTGAATTGTACTTTTCTTTATATTGAGTTTCTTCCTGTTTGGTTTTTAGTATTAGCTATAGACCTTGAAACTTGTTAAATTGTCTAACAATATGATCGTTATTTTCAGCCTCGTGTGCTTGGTGCCCAAAAACTAGTTCAAGATCTCTCCAAACATAACAATGTAGGGGGACTGTTGCAGAGAATGAATGAAGTCTACTTGGCATTAATAAGTATAGCGTATATGGATCCCAAGACAGGAAAAGGAAATGGTATGTATAGTATATTAGATTCAAAATGTTGTTTCATTTTATATACTAATTTGGTGGATTGAATGATCTGGTGCATCAAGAACTCGGCACTTAATTTTAACCTCATAAATTAGTTATTTGAGTGGCCATTGGGACACGGGAGGAGTCGGTGCTAGGCCAATACAGTGGCGTAGGCTCAATGTATACGAGTGATGTGTTACATCTCCGAGTTTTCCATAACTTAAAAATATTTTCAGTAAGGTCTTTTTCTTTCTTCCGTAAGTATCTCTTTATTTCTCTATTTCATCTCGCTTCAGTGGGGTAGACGGCACGACTGTCTTTCTCCACAACTCGCGCAAGTCTGCCAACTATGCCTAAGTACATTTCAACCTGATTAAGTGCAGCGGGGTAACTAGATGTGGGTTAGCAGGTCTGGCTAAACAAGGGCACTCCCTTCATGTAAGGAAATAGTTCGATAGGGATAGTCCGTGACGGTCCGTAAAGTCGAAACAGTGCGTGTGATATTACAAGTATTTAGTTTGTCATTTGTCGTGCGTTGTAGCGTAAATGCTATATCGTACTTAATATGCGTTAAATGTACTACTTTGTCAAACCTAGTTATCCTTTAAAGAGAATCGTGAATTCGAAATTCAAACGCGAAATAAAACTTTTTTTTGTGTGTGAAAGGACCCGACATGGCAAACTTATCCTGTTCATTCGTTGCAGGGTATAGCAGGGAACAGTAGTGAAGAGTTTCATTGTGTTTATTGACAGGATTCTTCAAATTCCTTTTAATTATTTCTCATATTCCGAAAACCTTGAGGCAGATACAACCATTAAATATCGCCACAAAACTGAAGAATTGTGTGCGTCATTTTAGTGGTAAGATAAATGAAAGTGATCATTGGATTTGCGGGTGTGAGATTAAAAACAAAATGTTTTGTTGGACGATCTTCGGTCGGGCCCTCAATTAAAGAGGACGTGACCGCTTATTTGCCAGAAAACAGCGGAGAATAGACCTGTAGTTCAAAAATTATGTACTTTATTGTGGATCATTTTTTAGTTTTGTTCATGTAAATTCATGCAATGAAAAACTGGTGATTTTTAAGAAATATTCAGAAGGAATCTAATTTGCAAAATAAACTTCTAAAATACATCAGAGTAAAGTAGAATGATGTAGACTTTAAATATTTAAGCGTCCAATATGTAATATCATAACCGCATCCCCATGTCTACTAACCAGGAGACGCACCGGGATCAATATATCGTAGAAATGTTCTCATTGAAAAAGATGGCGTGATTAAATTACGGCGTTGAAGTGACTAAGAAAACTTTATCGTAAATTATTTTGCGAAACAAAGTGAGGTTCTTGTGTAGTCCAGGCTGTTCATGGAACTACAATTTTCCAACACAAATGTGGGCAAGGTTCTTTCTGATTGACTCGAATTTGGGTCTGTGGAATCATGGCTGAAATGAAATGACATGACAGTGATACAGTGCAGTAGCATATACTGAGTTGGGCTGTTTACAGTTTGTGTCTCAAACCTGAATACGGTACTGGTGATATGAGAACAAATGTGATGATTTTTGTTTGAGATTACGAAAAAAATATATTACATATATTGAACTTCTAACCTCGCAACCAATAAAATTTCAACCTTGTGTCAAAGACCGATGTGAGAGCGTTTGACCAACAGAGGCAGCACTGGCACAACTGGCGCCAATTTCGAATACACATCTCTCAATAACAGTAACACAAGTCATCATGATACGGAAGTGTGTCTTCTCAAGGAGGAATCCAAATTTCTTGTGAATTTGACCGCTGTGAGGGTGAGTACACATTATAGACTTACGAATTGTATGGAGGCAGAGAGCAGTAATGATAGTTAACTGTCAGTACTGCAAAACATTATAATAAGCTACATAAAGTTCTACGCGTCATATCATCCCAACTGTGTAAATAGGGTGAGAATAAAATCAGAATTGAATGACTTAGAGTGTTGCAAATCTGAATCAATAATGGCTGCTCACCAAGAACTTCAAGTAGCAAATCAGAATTAAACGCCGAGCATGATACAAGATTGGAAAAACTAGAAGAGAGTACATTATAAAGAATCTAAAATAATATCGAATAAGCTCCCATCAGACCTATGAACAAAAAGCAAAAATTACGAAGGCAAGTTTTTTTTGTTATTTAAGGTCGCATCAACTACTAGGTCATTAGCGACCCCTACGAGGGTTGCCTTTTATATTTCAGGATTAGAGAACAAAACAAATATTAATCATCGAAAATCACTTTATTGTTTTTCAAAATATTCCCCATGAAGATCTATACACTTTTGCATGCGTTTGAACCAATTGTCGAAGCACGTTTGTCACTCTGATTGAGGTATCTCCAAAACATGCATTCTGAATGCAGCAACCGCTTCTTCAGGGGTCGAATAACGTTGATCTCTCAGTTTGTTTTTTACGTACGGGAATAAAAAGAAATCATTCGGTGCCAAGTCAGGACTATACGGCGGATGACTCATCCAATCGATGTTGTGGGTGCTCAAAAATGCAGTTGTTTGAGCCGATGTGTAAGAGCTCGTATTGTCGTGGTGAAGTGATCCATCATCGGCGGTTGGTTTTTCTGATTTCTTGGAAGACAGCTGACAAACATCGTTGTGTATCACTCAGAATTGACTGTTCTGCGTTGTTCTAGTGGTATGGTTGCAACATGTGCAGTTTTTCCGAAAAAAACAGGCGACCATCTGTTTGGAATTGCTTCGTGCGCGAACAACTTTGGTTGGATTTTGCTCATCTTGAAACACCCATACAGTCGACTGCTGTTTACTTTCGGGCTCATACGCGTAAATTCACGATGTCATAGACGTGTTTCGAAGCACCGCGATCGTATTTTTTGAGCATTTCTTTCGACCAATCGACACGAGCATTTTTTTGAGCGAGTGACAAATTGTGTGGGATCCAACGCGAACAAATTTTTTTGACAGTCAAATGTTCATGCAGTATTGAATGTATGCTGGTCTCACTAATGCCCAAGGTTGTCTCAATCTCACAATAGGTCACATGACTGATCTTGCAATATCAGTTGACGCACAGCATCAATGGTTTTCGGAACAACTGATTTTAGACGACCTTCGCGAAATTCGTCTTGGAGTGAACTATTCACCATTGAATTCACCATACCATCGATAAACACTGGTCCTTGATGGAGCTTCATCGCCAAAAATTGAATTAAGTTCATCCATGCACTGTTGCTGAGTTAATCCACGTCGAAAGTTGTAAAAAAAATAATCGCACGAAAATGTTAACGATTTAATTCCATTTTTAAGCCAAGATGAATATTTTAAGTTACTGTAAACAACACAAATAGCGCTCTATGTCAAAACGTTCTGAGTACGTGTAACCTCAAAATATCCAACTTTACGATAGAGCTGTCAGTTGCCAGATTGCAACATCAGGGTTGCCAAATCCCAAAACATAAAAGGCAACCTTCTTATCACAAAAAATCACAATGAAACAATCATGATGAAACAAATGCACATACCCAAAGCATAATTCCTACACATGGATATGAGAGGTATTACACTCAATAAACGAATACTTTTTATACTATACACATCTAAACTAGTACAAAGTAAAGTTAAATCTCTCATAAATTATTCACAGAAAGTTTCAATCTTTGAATTTAGTTGAATATAAAAATTTACGTTTAAGAATACTGTACATTAGCTTTTTGAAAGCTTTGAAGTGAATTGAATAATTTAAGAACATACATTTATAAAGAAAGCATCGTAATAAATGAAGTATACTTGGTTCCAAACCATTCATTGAATCAGAAATTGTGTATGTAAAATTACAGTAAGTTCAGAATTTTCAAATGTCTGGTTTCAGTTCCACAGTCAAATGCAATCGTACCGAGTTCATTAGCATATGACCGCGCGGCTCTCCTCCAGCAAACGTTTTATATAGGAAAGACTTGAGTTTGTCGCTTCCCGCGGCTTCTTCACATTGACCGCGACGCCTGAGAACGCGCGGCAGACATCTTTCCGAATGCGCCCTGTAAGCCCTGCCTCCCATTTGTGCGCTCAACGAAGTACGGCGCCTCTTGGCGTCTGTGCCTACGGCGAAGCGTGCCGCCAGCGCAGGCGATTAGAAGCCGCTGGACGTACATATATACAAGATTTAGATTTATATATATATATATATATATATATATATATTAATATACTCAATTTCACTCACTATAGTAACTATTTTCCCACAAACGCGCTCCGGCACACCCACAACATTGCCACCCTTCACAGTAGCACGCATGAACCCGTAGCGGTTATCAAAGATTGCTCGTGAAGCGAGCTTAAAAATTCTAGGCGAGCCAGGCGATTCTCAGGGTGTGAGTAAAGGTTTGATCACCCTTGACACAATAAATAACACAAGATTAGCACACAACGACCGCGTAATATCTCTCACCCATACAACTCCTCTTAGCTGGCATAAGTATCATCGAAAAACGCAGAATACTAGAATCAAATTTACAAAGAATGTCAAACACAAAATAGAAACTTTTACAACGCACACTGCTATATACACAGGAGTCAATTTACAACAAAATTGATACTCTGAAATAATTACTCCTAATCATCACTTGGGTGCTTCCTGGAAAAATTAATTATATCTAATTTCTGCTATTCTAATTACATTGCACATGAAACAAAATTTCATTTACACTATCTGCTTCAAATTTACATGCAAAGGAACAAAAATGTGTGCAAGTGCAACTACTGCGTCATTTACAACTTACTCGTGTCTGAAAAAGCAGAATAAAAAATGTCCTCAAGTAGAATGTTTTTCAGGCAATAGTCGCAAAATCCCAAAACGTTCCTATAAATACTGCTTGAATTTGTTGCCACCTGTGTCCTCAATTCTTACCTGGCCGCATTTTTTCCCTGCCACGTGAACTTGACCTATTTTCCGCGCCCATAACCTTTACCGTTCGTGGACTTCCCATTTTTGGCCCT